CCCTAGGCCCCTGGCCCTCCTGACACTTGAACCCCAACTGGCCCGAAACAGTAAGATCCGGGCAGGACAATGACGGCGCGGGGGCCAAAGCCCAAAGCCCCCAGCCCTCGGCCCTAGCCCTGGGGCCTGTCCCCGAAAAGCCCCCAAAACTTCAGACCCCAATCCCTGCGCCTTACGCCCTGCGCCTCCGGCGCCGAGCCCGAAGCCTCGCGCCCGAAGCCCTCGGCCACGCCCTTTGGCCATAAAACTCCAAACGCCAGGCCCTCTGCCCCGCGCGCCAGGCCCCGGGCCCACGTCTGAAACAGCCAACCTCTCGAACCACAGCCACCTGGCCGAAGGCCTTCGTCAAGAAGCCCGAAGCCCCGGGGGCCAGGACTCAAGGCCGAAGGCCTGACAATGTCTGAAACCAAAGACAGAAGGCCCCAGGACGCGGGGACCTCGCAACGCAGGACGTGACCCAGGACCCACGGCACCGGGCCTCCCGGGCTGGACGGTAAGGGTATCGGGGCTCAGATCTCGACCGACTGAAAGAGGGCGGGGGGCCCGAGCCCGAGAGCGCGGAGAGCTGGGCCCATGGTTCAAGGCCCACTGGGCCCAGGGTCGAGGCAGAGAAAACCCGAAAAGATCAAGCCGACGGCGCTGAACCTTTGGCCCTGGCCCTAGCTCTAGCCCCTAGTCCTAGCCTTAGCCCCAGGGCCCTAGCACTAGCCCAAGGGCCCCAGCCCTAGACCCTAGCCGGGTCCCCAGCCCTTCTGGCCCTAGCCCTAGCCCCCAGGGTGCCATGACTCTGAGCTAACTAAGGCCACTGCCCTGCCCTAGCCCCCTTGGCCCTAGACCCAGCCCTAACCCCAAGCGCTGGCCCTAGCCCTAGCCCTAGCCCTAGGGCCCTAGCGCGCCATGGTCCTAGCCCTGGCCCTGGCCCCAGCCCCAGGGCCCTAGCGCGCCTTGGCTCTAGCCCCAGCCGTAGACCTAGCTAGCCCTCGCCCTGGCCCTAGCCCATCGATGATGAACGCACTGTCATAAACAGTGTTCGTATGATTATGCATCATTCTGTGATGACAAAAAGAAGTAGATTGATGCTAAGAGAAATAAAAAGTTGCGTGTCATGTTCACATTAATTCATATCGATGTGTAAAGAATCACGAAATTGATCATCATACTTCCCAGAGAAACTTCACACTCCGTAGTGAAAAATGAATGTGGCTTATTTCCAGGTATATGCTTTAGCTACGTTGGGAACCATGTCAAGTAAAAATGCAAAGTTGTTTGGCTCCCGTCTGGATTTAGATGATGTTGTGAAGATTGACGAAATTACGAAATCGTTTCCCGAAGAATACTTACCAACATAATTCAAGAGATAACGCCTTCTACCGCACCTTGATGTACAGAAATTGTTGCCAAACTCTCCCCCTTCGATGAACCGGGGACCCCCCCTTCAAAATCCCCCCCACTTCCTACAAACCCTCCCCCACCCTCGCCTGGTAAACCTCCCCTTCCCTACCCCACCCCCCGATTCCCAAACCCCACGGGGGGGCGTTTAAACCCTCCCGCCCCGCCCCATTTTTTCGGATTCCACAATGGGAGGGGGGGGGGAGGGGAGAGTTTCAACCCCCCCCTATCCCCCCACCCACCCACACGCCGCAGGCAAATGACAACGGCGAGCGTCGAAGCCAAACGACGGCGACGAAGACGAGCGCTGGCGCGGAACGACAGCTTCGAACCAGCCCCCTCCCCCCATTCGCGGAATGCAAGTGGAAAAAAGTAGTTGGTTCGAACCCACCCACCCCTGTCCCAGGAATCCTCAAGAGAGAACAAGAGATCAGAAGCCCAAATATTGAAACTCCCATTTCAAAGCATAGGACACCCAATCGGTTGGAAACCCAACATATTGTAGCGGCGACCGCTGCGGATGGCGGCGAGGATGGCGACGATCGAGGAGGCGAAAATAACATAAGCGTAAACTTTCGGAGGTCCGCGCAGATTGCCTGGACTCGGCTATACGCAAGAGTGACCCTGGGTAAGAGTGACCTTTGGTGCGCGACTTTTGGGGGGCCGCGGGGGGGCCAAGCCTGGGCGCGCAAGCAGCTGCTGCACTTCGTTCTCAGCCATCTGGGGGCCCATCTGTGCCCGCACCAACGGTCACTCCGGCGAAAGGTCACTCTTACGTCCAGCCGATGGATCGGCGCTGGACCCCCCTGGCGGCGCCCCGGGCAACGCCCCGGCGCGCTCCGCGGGGCCCGGCGCGTGCTCCAGGAGACCCGCGCGGACCTCTGAGAGCGTCGGTTTACGTTGCTGTGTTTGTCCACGAGACGGCAGCGGCGGCGGCGACGATGGCCACGACGACCACGTCGAGGAGGACGGCGACAACGGCGGCGGTGGCAGCAGCCGGCCGGGACGACGACGAACCCTTTCCAAGGGGTACTGTTTCAGCTGGGGTCCGTCTTTGATGGTCCTCGGGGCCCGAGGACGGCCCCTAGAGGCCGAAATCGAGGAATTACATCCTTGGCAGCAGAATACCCGAAACAGCTTTAAGTAGAATACTGCAGAAAGCACCTTGTAGTTGCATCAACGCAATCATGTACAATACTGGCACGAGAACATGCTACGCTATGTATAACGAACGAGAGATTCGGGGGGCAAGATCGAAGTGAAACGGAGCCCCCTCCCCCCGGGATGTTGGCGGCGCGCGCAAAAGGGGTAAGGGGAGGGGGGAAGGCTGCTTAGAAGGAGGCTGCTTCTAAGAAGGCGCTGGCCTTCCATCTTCAGACGAGGCCTGCACCTTCTAATAAGCAGGGGTGCTTCCAAGAAGCCTTCCCCCCTCCCCCTGCCCCTCTCTGCGCGCGGCCGAAGACCATCGGTTTCGGTCTCGTGCTCGTGCCGCGCGCGCGGGCGAGGCGAAGCAGTGTGGGCCGGCGAGCGAAGCAATCCCGCTGTTGACCATGGCGACGTCAGAGCAAAATCCATCATCTGGCCGGTTGGCGACAGGTGCCGCGCCGATGTCCCTGTGGTTGTCCCGAGGTTGGCCCGTGGCTTTCCCGCCGGTTGTCTCGAAGGTTGTCCCGATGGTTGTCCTGATGGCTGTTCCAGCGGTTGTCCCGATGTTTGTCCCGATGGTTATCCAGTGGTTGTCCCGTTGGTTGTCCCGGAGGTTGTCATGATGGTTGTCCCGATGGTTGTACCGATGGTTGTCCCGATGAATATCCCGATAGTTGTCCCGATGGTTGTCCCGATGGCTGTCCCGATGGTTGTCCCGATGGGTGTCCCGATAGTTGTCCGGATGGGTGTCCCGGTGATTGTCCTAATAACTGTCCCGATGGTTGTCCCGATGGTTCCCCCGTTGGTTGTCGCGATGTTTTCCCGATGGTTGTCCTGGCGGTTGTCCCGATGATGGTCCCGATGGCTTTCCCGATGGTTGTCCCAATGGTTGTCCCGATGATTGCCCGGATGGTTCGCCCGATGGATTCCAGCCAAAACATTGCGATCGGCGCCTCCGCCGCCTGGAGGTTATCGTCCAAATGACCAAAAATGCGCTCGGCGCCTTCTGCACCTCGAGATGCGTTCCAAAATGATGTAATACATGCGCTCGGCAACGTTGGTGCCGATCAATTTAGTGAGATGAGTAGACAGATGGACAGAGGGACCAATAGATAGATAATAGGTACTTGTCCTGTAGCTGTTCCGATAGCTGTTCCGATGGTTGTCCCGCTGATGGTCCCAACGGATTTCCCGATAGTTGTTCTGTCGGTTGGAGGGGTAGGGGGGGTTGGGTTTGAACCCCCCCTACTTTCTGGAATCCCCAGGGGGGGGTGTTCGAACACACCCCTCCCTCAACCTTCCGGGGGGCGGGGTCGAAACCCACACACGCCCACCCACTTCCTCCCAGCTGCGTCAGAAGACGCTCTTTCAAATTAAAAATTAGTATGTTCCAATAATAATCATGCTTTTGTTTCTATGAGTTTCTACGGTTCCGTACACATATGGCACAACAAACAATGACAAATACAAAACATGCACGAAACAACTGAACTTGCCCAGACCTTTCCCGTAACTTTTGAGAACTTGCATAGAAAACACGATCGGTTCAAGCTTTTCCCTCCGGCCCACCGCACAAATCTTGAACGATCGCGGCTCTCCGCTAGCACAGATAGCCCGACATCGCTCCCCATTCTGGGCACTGGCAAGGTTCAACCCTGAACGCGCTCGCTGGGGTCGCAGCCGCGTCGACACGACGCAAACATGCCGCATGCATCCCTGGGAGGACTCTGGCGGCGCGCACAACGGGGTGCAGGGAGGGGAAAGGCTTCTTAGAAGGAGGCTGCTGGCGCCGGCCTTACATCTATAGACAGCCTTCTGAGAAGTTGGGGTGCTTCTAAGAAGCCCCCCCCCCTACCCCCACCCCCCTTCTGCGCGTGGCTGAGGACTGGAACTGCCCGCGCAGTGGCCAGACTGCCTGCACAGCTGCCCTGCACCCCGGGTGCACCGAAGAGAGGGAAGGGAGGCCAGAGAGAGGGGGCCTTAGCACACCGCGGCCCGAGGCGCGTGCGCAGACGAGTGGGGGCCACGCAGCGTGCTGGAAGAAGAAAGACAAGAAGTAGAAGTAAAAGTAGTGATAGCAGAAGAAGAAGCAAAGGGAGGGGGCATGAGATCGGGGAGACATCCTGGCCAGGACCACGATGTTCATCCCCCATGGTCCTCACCCCCCTCTTTCGGAAGTGGACGGAAACGCCTTGTAAAAAGATAAGCTGCCAGGGGCACTCCACGTGCGCACGGCACCGCTTTCCGAGTGCACCGCAGCGTGGTAGCTAATCGACGTCCAAAAACAACCGAACGTGTCCGGCGAAACGCACGTCGACTAGTGAAACTGACTGGGGACTGCACCAGCACACCCGAATGCCAATGTCGTGTGCACCGGGGAAGATTGCCTCCGTCGACTTATCTGGGGGGCGCTCTCTCAGTGCCCGACGCTTCGTTGCCCGCGACACCACCCCGGGTGCCCCCGCCCTGCTGGAAGTCACCGGGCCGCACTGCCCTGAAGAGGAGCGCGGCGAGCGTCGCGCCCGCCAGCTCGAAGAAGACGTAGACCAAGGACCAGCCTGCCGGCGGACAGCGGGTGCGCCGGAGAGGGGCGCCAAGGGCAGGGGGGGGGGTCAGCAGCACCTCGGGGGCCCCCAAAACGACGAGGTGGCCACACCGGGTGGGGGCTCGGGGCCACCACACGGTGTTGAGGCTCGTGTCGTTCTCCAAGGATGTCCCCGGCGACCCAAGGCCTCCGAGGTCACAACAGCGTGCGGTGACGGACCGCGCGGTGAGGTCTCTTGGAATCTCGAGGTCACCGCGCGGTCCATTACCGCACGGTCTTTTAACCACCGAGCACTGTTTAACCGACCCCTGTCCTTAGGTCAGGCATGTCCTCCTACAAGCGGAATTTGAAGAAAAATGAAAATAGTCAAAACAAGATCAAAAAAATCGTATGCACATATTTCATTTCCCCATATCCAAAGGATAGGGTTCCTGTTATTCTCTGACCGCGCTAGACCCCTCATCATCATCCCCTCCTTCCGTCGTTGGTTGTGTTGAGTGATGGTGAATGATGGATGAGAATGATAATAATAAGAATATGGGTAATAATGATGATAATACTACTCATAAGGATAATAATAATGATGAGGATGATGATGATGGCTGATGGATGACGATGATGATGATGATGATGATGATGATGATGATGATGATGATGATGATGATGATGATGATGATGATGATGATGATGATGATGGTGGTGGTGGTGGTGGTGATGATGATGATGATGACGACGATGAGCAGATGATGAGGATGTCTCGAGCGGCTTGCTTGTTTTAGCACTTCTAAGGGGAGGTCGCCAGGGGTATCTCACGGCCTCCGTTCGCGCCCACATTGCGGGGATGTCTCAGGCGGTTTGCCTGTTTTGGTCGCGAACATCCTTCGTTTTCTGAGCAGATTCTGAGGATGTCTCAGGCGAGGCGCCTCCTAAGGGGGGGCCGCCAGCGGTATATCTCGGCCTCCGTTCGCGCCCAGATTGCGGGGTTGTCTCAGGCGGTTTGCCTGTTTTGATCGCGAACATCCCCCGCTTTCGAAGCAGATTCTGAGGATGTCTCGTGCGAGGCGCTGGTTATCGCACCCCAGGCGGCCCAGATTACGAGGATGTCTCCAGTTTCCTGACCCAGCATCCTTTACTTTCGGAGCAGATTTGGAGGATGTCGCGTGCGAGGCGCTGGTTTTACGTGTGTTCCTGTAGGTTGTCCTTCTCCGGTGGTTCCAATCCTACGCGTTTTATATATGTGTTACATCTGGTTCCCAAGGAAGCCCCAAGAGGCCTCAGGAAGCTCCAGGAAGCTCAAGGGGGAGCAGTCCCCAAGATGCCCCAAGGAGGCCCCAGGAGTCCCCAAGAGGCCCTAGGAGGCTCCAGGAAGACCCAGGAGGCCCCAGGAGGCCCCAAAGGTCACAGGAGACATCAGGAAGCCACAGGAAGCCCCAAGAGGAACCAGGAGGCTCCAAGAGGCCCGAGGAAGCCCCAGGAAACGCCAGAAGGACCCAGGAGGTCGCAGGAGGATGTCCAGAGGAAGCGCCAGAAAGGCCCAAGGAAGCCCCAAGAGGCCTCAGGAAGCCCCAGGAGGCTCAAGGAGGAGCAGTCCCCAAGATGCCCCAGGAGGCCCCAGGAGTCCCCAAGAGGCCCCAGGAGGCTCCAGTAGGCAGCAGCAGGTCCCAGGAGTTCCAAGAGGCTCCAGGAAGCCCCAGGAAGGCCCAAGAAGCCCCAAGAGGCCCCAGGAGGCCCCAGGAGCCCCAGGAGACTTGAGGAAGCCCCAGGAAGCCCCAAGAGACCCCAGGAGGATTCAGTCACGCTCAGTCATGCTTAGGCGACTGACGTGCAGATACTCTCACCCTAAGCTTAGCCATGCGCAAGCTCACGCGAATAGACTCTCTCGTACTACTGGGGCTCATACACACTCAAAGTCATTCACAATTATACTCTCCCCCAGGCCGTCAATATTCAAGCTCGTTTATATTCGAAGCTTCTTGCGCCTAGACATTCACGGTGGAACTGCCAATGCAAAGAGATACACATATGAGGAGCTCCACGCAGTGAACAATTCCCAAATCGGGGTCCTAGCGGATTCATATGGTTAGGTTAGGTTTGCCGCCGATTTTCGCTGCACGCCTGGGTGCCTGGGTGCCCGGGCGTGCCCGGGGGTGCCCGGGGGTGCCCTATAGCCCTATAGCCCTATAGCCCTATAGCCCAATAGCCCAATAGCCCTATAGCCCTATAGCCCATATAGCCCAATAGCCCAATAGCCCATATGGCGCCCAAGAGCCCATATAGCCCTGTAGCCCTATAGCCCTACAGCCCTAAAAAGATTACCCTGGCGACGTACCCAACCCCTGCGCAAACGCGGGGCGCAAATTGTTTCGGACACTTTATGAGGGGGGCGATGACGGAGCGAGGGTTACATATGTCTGCAGACGGAATTCGGGAGACTCGCAGGACACTGGCTACAGGACAGGGACTAGATAAAGCTGATTAGTTACAATCCCTGAGCAACCCTAGCCACTTCGAAAGCGGGGATCTCATATCGCAGCCCCCAGGGATGGCGAGGTCCAATTTGGGTCCGCGCGTGGAGTCACTGTGCTGGGCCCCCCAGCAGGCCTCGAAAGTGGCGACAGTTTCACAGATCGAATCCCCCCAGGGATGGCGAGGTCTAATTTGGGTCCGCGCGTGGCGTCACTGTGCTGGGCCCCCCAGCAGGCCTCGAAAGTGGCGACAGTTTCACAGATCGCAGCCCCCCAGGGATGGCGAGGTCTAATTTGGGTCCGCGCGTGGCGTCACTGTGCTGGGCCCCCCAGCAGGCCTCGAAAGTGGCGACAGTTTCACAGATCGCAGCCCCCCAGGGATGGCGAGGTCTAATTTGGGTCCGCCCGTGGCGTCACTGTGCTGGGCCCCCCAGCAGGCCTCGAAAGTGGCGACAGTTTCACAGATCGCAGCCCCCCAGGGATGGCGAGGTCTAATTTGAATCTGCCCGTGGCGTCACTGTGCTGGGCCCCCCAGCAGGCCTCGAAAGTGGCGACAGTTTCACAGATCGCAGCCCCCCAGGGATGGCGAGGTCTAATTTGAATCTGCCCGTGGCGTTACTGTGCTGGGCCCCCCAGCAGGCCTCGAAAGTGGCGACAGTTTCACAGATCGCAGCCCCCCAGGGATGGCGAGGTCTAATTTGAATCTGCGTGTGCGTCACTGTGCTGGGCCCCCCAGCAGGCCTCGAAAGTGGCGACAGTTTCACAGATCGCAGCCCCCCAGGGATGGCGAGGTCTAATTTGAATCTGCGTGTGGCGTCACTGTGCTGGGCCCCCCAGCAGGCCTCGAAAGTGGCGACAGTTTCACAGATCGCAGCCCCCCAGGATGGCGAGGTCTAATTTGAATCCGCGTGTGGCGTCACTGTGCTGGGCCCCCCAGGGCCTCGAAAGTGGCGACGGTTTCACAGATCGCAGCCCCCCAGGGATGGCGAGGTCTAATTTGAATCTGCGTGGCGTCACTGTGCTGGGCCCCCCAGCAGGCCTCGAAAGTGGCGACAGTTTCACAGATCGCAGCCCCCCAGGGATGGCGAGGTCTAATTTGAATCCGCCCGTGGCGTCACTGTGCTGGGCCCCCCAGCAGGCCTCGAAAGTGGCGACAGTTTCACAGATCGCAGCCCCCCAGGGATGGCGAGGTCCAATTTGGGTCCGCGCGTGGCGTCACTGTGCTGGGCCCCCCAGCAGGCCTCGAAAGTGGCGACAGTTTCACAGATCGCAGTCTCCCAGGGATGGCGATGTCTAATTTGAATCTGCCCGTGGCGTCACTGTGCTGGGCCCCCCAGCAGGCCTCGAAAGTGGCGACAGTTTCACAGATCGCAGCCCCCCCCCAGGGATGGCGAGGTCTAATTTGAATCTGCCCGTGGCGTCACTGTGCTGGGCCCCCCAGCAGGCCTCGAAAGTGGCGACAGTTTCACAGATCGCAGCCCCCCGCAGGCAAGACAGGAGGAGGCAAGAGGGAGGCGGGAAGGAAGGAAGGAGGAAAGGAGGGAGTGGAGACCACACTGCTCTATTCAAAACGAATACCCAACCAAGGAGTGTTGGGAATTATGATTGGGTTTTTTCTCCTGTACCAGTTTAATATAAAAACTCGTCCCCGCACTAGTGTTTGATTATTTCCAAATCATCCTGTGGTGGTGTTGGGTCCTCGTTTTGGAAAAACAGCGCACCGCGTCCCACTCCTCATCCCGCTGCCCCCTCCTCCCTCCTCCGCCTCTGTCGGCCGCGCCCCGTTTCGGCGCACCCCTCACACGCCTCGCAGCCCCATGTAGAACTCCACCGAAGGCCCCAGAGGCAGGGTTCGTACGCCTTCCTCTGCCAATGTTGACACGCCCCTTACATGTTTTGTGGCCCATAGGGAGCTCCGCCGAAGACCCCAGTGGCAGCGCCCGCATGCATCCCCCCGCCCACTTCGGCACACCCCGCACACGTTTCGGGGTTTCTTTCCGCGTTGCCCCGTGCTCCATCCCTCTCGCGGCGCGCTGCCCATGAGCGGGAATCTGAACGGGACCTCGCCGTCCCTGGGGGGCTGCGATCTGCAAAACTGTCGCCACTTTCGAGGGCTGCTGGTGGGTCCAGCGGGGTGAGGCACCGCGCGGATCTGAGCGGGACCTCGCCGTCCCTGGGGGGGCTGCGCTGCGATCTGCAAAACTGTCGCCACTTTCGAGGACTGCTGGTGGGTCCTGCGGAGTGGGGCACCGCGGGGATCTGAGCGGGACCTCGCCGTCCCTGGGGGGCTGCGATCTGCAAAACTGTCGCCACTTTCGAGGGCTGCTGGTGGGTCCTGCAGAGTGAGGCACCGCGGGGATCTGAGCGGGACCTCCCCGTCCCTGGGGGGCTGCGATCTGCGACACGGTCGCCACTTTCGAGGGCTGCTGGTGGGTCCTGCGGAGTGAGGCACCGCGCGGATCTGGGCGGGACCTCGCCGTCCCTGGAGGGCTGCAATCTGCGAAACTATCGCCACTTTCGAGGGCTGCTGGTGGGTCCTGCAGAGTGA